CGAAGGGGCTAGCTTTTTCCAAATATCATGCATGACATTCACAATCGCGTCAAAATAGATCATATTTACAAGTAAAATCTTTGATTGAATGAAAAGAGGAATAGCATGAGCATCACTGGGCGGAAAATAAATCAGTCGAAGAGCTCCTTTTTGGAAGACAAGTAGTTTGCCAATGTAATAAAAGTGTTAGTTGAAAATATGCTACTTCGCATCTGAGAACAGGTGATATGAATAAATTACCGATATTAAACGAAATGCTGGACTATGAGTGATCTTAAGGCCTGAAGAGAAGTTCCTTTCTATGTTAACATTTATGAATTTGTAACTATTTTACGTTTAAGATTCATGCATTGCTATCTCATGACATTTCCTGTAGATTACGATAAGTTTGCAATCTAAGTAAAGCGCGGAATTAATTTACGACAAGGATATAATGAAGAGCAAATATTACACACAAACCTTACTATAGTTTTGGTGGGCATTTCTCTTCGGTGACAATTTTGATAAAGTCCAGGAACGATAAATGACATGCCAAATTTGTACGTTGACCTATGAGCTGTTCAATTGATACCCTAGTTAAGAAGGTTTTCTCTTTTCGATTTCTTAATCGGATTTGTACCACGAAGAGGCGAAAACGAGTTACTAAGCAACGGGCGAAACATCACACCTTTAAAACGCACTCTCCTTCACCACCTTCGCGTCAGACAAAGAAAGAAGAAAGACACAAGAACACTAGAACAGAACACTAGAACAGAAATAAAGAGTTGCACGAAAGAAAATATTTCCCTTTGTAAGGCAATATTACCTGGCATTGCCTGACGTACATACTCAATTCAAAGGGAAATGTCAACTTATACAGGATCAACCACATCGAAGAGAACATGAAGAGAAATCTTCAAGTAGCCTCCCCTTCATCTCAAACCGTAAGTAAAAGCTCATCTATGAAGGCTTTAGAACAAATCTGATCTTCGAACTAGAGGAGTCGTGCAGGTCCGAAATCACATTTTTATGCTACTATCTGATTATTCCAAAATGATATCGTTATCTCATTATTCCCTCCAACATAAAGCCATTATTCCAGCGTCATTAGCGCGCACACATGAGCGTTTGCACGTATAAAACGTAAGAGATTTCCCTAAAACTAAGCTCGATAGCGAAATAAATGCTCCTTTTCTTTTAAACGAGCACGGTGACCCCCGACTTTTTTTTTGAGATATTTCTAAGAACAGTCAAATAAGGAACATATTTGAAGAAGAAAAAGCATTATTTTTTTTTTTGGAAATAGTTCCGTACTGGGTGTATTTTGGCCAAGGCGAGGACTTCAAGCCAACCACGGAACTGTCCGAAAAAGTGCAATATTCCCACAACCAGGCAATCAAAAACGGCTTAAATGAAGCAATACTGCTTCTGTGAATAAAAGAAACTTTACTTTCAAGATAAATTTTGTTTCTTTCAAGTAACCAAGACTTAATTCTGTATGAAGGTGATTCGAAATTTTAACGCACAACCAGTAAAAATATTTGGTCGCACTAAGTGTGACCGAAGTGTTGTGTCGGACTTAAAGACGGTGCGAATGCCTTGTTGTTCTTGTTGTCGCGGAATTTAAATCCACCGCCGTTTTACTTTATGTCCAAGGAGTTTCG